CAGCTGCTGTCCTTTGCCCCTGTTTTCACGACTAGGGGCAATTAGACGGGGTTCGACTCCCCGCACCCGAATTTTCCAGGTTCGAATACTTTTTAAATTGTGAATTCGAGGGAGCGTAGAATCTAGGTAAGGCATCGGGTGTGGGTGTACGATGCACAACTGCTTTACTTATACGGCTGTTGATGAATTAGAGGCATTCAGCCGTGGTTCGAGTCCTCGTACCTAAATACTGAGATACCTTAGAAACGTTTTGGAGTCAGAATACCCCGCCCGTCAGTTTCGTCGCTAATATATCACGCCAGCTATACAGAGCAAGCAGTCGGGTGTGGTGCACGGCGCACAACTGCTCTGCTTGCGGGGCTTCCAGGGTCATTATATGGAGGCAGTCAGACGGGGTTCGATTCCCCGCACCCGAATGGGTAATGAAAATATTGTTTTATCCAGAGTAACCCGCCCGTTAATTTGTCGCTAATAAATTCCAAAAAGTATACAGAGCAAAGAATCGGGTGTAGTGTAAGGCGCACAACTGCTGTCCTTGGAAATGTCGCAGAATTCGTTAGAGCAGTCAGACGGGGTTCGACTCCCCGCACCCGAATGGGTAATGAAAATATTGTTTTTATCCAGAGTAACCCGCCCGTTAATTTGTCGCTAATAAATTCCACAAAGTATACAGAGCAAAGAATCGGGTGTGGTGTAAGTACGGAGCACAACTTCTGTCCTTGCGCGGTTTCACAAGAGATTACTGGCGGTTAGACGGGGTTCGACTCCCCGCACCCGAATTCCCAGCTAATACTTTTTTAAATTCTAAATTCAACCACTCCGAGAACCTGGTTAAAGGGAGCGTAGGATTTAGGTAAAGCATCGGGTATGGTGTATGGCGCACAACTGCTGTCCTTGAGTAGATTCAGGATTACTTGGAGGCAGTCAGACGGGGTTCGACTCCCCGCACCCGAATAAGGTTTATTTTATTTTATCCAGAGTATCCCCGCCCTTAATTTAGTCGCTCATAAACGATACCAAGCATATAGAACAAAGTATACGTATCGGGTGTGGTGCATGGCGCACCGCTGAAATCCGTGGCATGGTTTTCGGAATTATAAGCAGCGAACCCAGGTTCGACTCCCCGCACCCGAATGGTCGTGAACCCAGAAACCTTTTTATACTCAGAGTACTTGACCCGCCCGTTTATTTCGTCCCTAATAAATCACAGAAAGTATATAGAATAAGGAATCGGGTGTGGTGTATGGCGCACAACTGCTGTCCTTAGGTTTATTCGAGGCGATTAGAGGCAGTTCAACGGGGTTCGACTCCCCGCACCCGAAATCCCCACATACTTTCTGTGTTTTTCTTTTGCTCGCGTCGTGACTCTGAGAAAGAAAGGAAGTCCATTAACAAGTGCGTAAATATCATAAATTATAACCCTCCGCATATCCGTGCGTGTCTATTTTGCCCTCCCCTTCCGCTCTCCTCCCGCCTCCCGCCTCCAACTCAGAACACAAAGGAGCACTCAGATATAAAGTAACCCCGCTCAAAATTTGACTCGACTGACGACCCCACAAAATGCCTTCCCCTGTATCCGCACCAAATCCAGCTCGAGCGCCGTCGGCTGGCGCGAGCCGTCCGCGGCGGCGCCCCAGGGGAGCCTGCGAACGTAGTGAGCAGGGGGTTAAATAAAAAGGCAACACGAACTTATCCCCATGCACCTCCAGCCCCGTGAGCTGCTTGAACGCGTGCGCGTACCCGAGCGGGACGTAGAGGACGCCGTGGTGTGTGAGCGTGCTGTGGGAGAGTGCGGCGTCAGCGCCGAATTCCAACAAATATTGGATGAAAGGGTGGAATAAAGAAAAACACCTAATCATATTCAAAATCGTCACCTCTTGCCCCCCGCCCGGGCCCGCAGTCGAAAGCACCGGCGTATTTGCCGGCGAGGGCGCCGGTGGACCAGAGGGAGGAGGTGGAGTCCCAGAAGGCCTGGGGAGGGGGTGTCAGTGGGATGCGGGTGGTGAAGATTTAAACACAGGAGACACACCTTCCACTGCGCGGGGAAGTTTCCAAGCCGGGTCGGCACGCCCATGAGGAAGGCGTCGTATTTCGCGAGCTCGTCGGGCGTGATGATGGGGTAGGTGGGCTTGGCGGGGGCGTACATCTTGGCGAGGACTTCCGCGTCTGTGCGGAGCGTTAGTAACCACCATCAAAAAGAGAGGACAAGAAACGCACTGATACAAAGTCGCACTCCCACCCGCCTCTTCAATTCCCGCCTTTACGCTCTCCGCCACTGCCAATGCCACACATTAGTTCGACACCCAATAAAACGCATACAAAGGACGCACTCTTCGTGATATGCCCGTACATCGAGTATATCACAATCGCAATCTTGGGGCCCTTCCCCGCGCCCGCGGTGGACACGAGCGTCGCCGCGGGACTGCCCTTTGCCGTCGTGGATGGTGTGGATTTCGCGGCAGCGGCCTTGGGCTTCGCGTCCGCGTCGAAGTTGGGCTTTTGTTTCTTGATGGGGAAACACAAGTTTTAGGGCTTGCAGCCGTGCCGTAAAAGTACGGAGACACGGGCCGTAAATACGGTTACGGACCCGTACCGTCAAGCGTTGGGAGACCATCTTATACGGGACGGGGACGGTACGGGTTTGGCCGTATACGGTGAGCCGTAACCGTCCGTTTACGGCTTTACGGCTTTGTCCCACTGGTGCCTCAAAGATGGGAGGAAATTCCCGCGGATCAGGGTGGCAAGGCTGCCGATGGCATCCCATGGTCAACTCCCTAATCATTGACCCAAGGAGCAACATTCGGCACACCCAGGAGGCATCGGCTCATGAAGAGTCCATCACGGAATGTTCCGAGATGTTCAACTTCCATGATGGATGTGGTTGCCCTCGTTGAATCGAGATGTTTACGTGTTCAAGCTCGACTCCAGAGCATAAAATGACATTTACCATCCAATAGATGTATGTTGGATAAAGAAATGAATTATTTTCGAATGTGTTGAAGTGGAATGACAGGTAGGGCCGTAATTACGCCGTAACGGGCGGCACGGGCGGGACCCGTGCCGTTCGAGCGTCTGCGCCATGGTCTTACGGACGGCTCAACCGTACCGTAAGAAAATTACGGCGTAATTCTTACGGCCGTGGCCGTAACACGGGCGGGTGCAAGCCCTAACAAGTTTGCTGGACGGTGTCAGCGATGGGAACGAGAGGCTAGCTTGGACGGAGAACGGGGCGGACCCAGACTGAGAGCGCTACATACCCTGTCCGTGAGACGCTGCATCCACACGGACTTGGGGTGGGCAGCAACGCGAAACTCAAAAAGCGGAAGGTGGAAGGTAAGAGGCAGATCATTCGCGATCACGTGTAATCGCGAGCGTGACGACGTCACGGTGTTACACTTACAGTCGGCAGTCAACTCATTTTTATGCGATAGGTGAGTCATCATTTTATCAGGACTCCTATCCCATTGTCTTGAGCAACTTGGGGATGCTTGTCATTGGGGTGCACCTGATTCGCTGTCTGGCCGGACAACAGTAGATTCCTTCAAACGAGAGAGCCACCGAGGGACCCAGTAATGGCCAGCTTTAAATAGCATGCCTATTCAACCGGGATCGCGCATCATTTCTTATTGACCCGTCACATCGCAATAACAGAACACGCCGCATGAATGCTCGGCCTCTTGCTGCCGCGATTTCAATACAGTGAATGTATCCAAGGCATCAGCGGCCACTGGCGAGCACCGCAAACGTTGACTGCTCCGTGTTCACGGGTTTTTGAACTCCGTCTTGTGTTTGACAGAACGGCGTTATTACTAGCGGTGTTCGGGAACATAACTGGGCTGTGTTGCGATTCCTTCAAAATGCGGGGTCAAGTGCCCACGATACCAGTCTTCCGTGGATCCACACTTCCTCGCCCCCCAGCCACACCAACTCACCACGCAACGATATACTCCGCATTTCTGGACATCATGGCGGACATGTGGTGTGGACTGTGGTCCAATCTATGCCAAAGCGGTCGGACTTCACACCTCAATCACCCGACCGAATCAATCGGTGAGCACTTCCAATCCGCCTTCACTATCTCCTTACCCAGTATCATCCTTGAGCAGCCCCTTTCCGGGATGACCCTGTCCCCATCACGCAACTTCCTGATATTCCTTACGAAGCGAACCGGTATTCCGTCTTCTTAAGGACCCAGGAAGTCGTCAGACCACATCTCGAGCTCCTCTATGCCTATGTTCGAAGCTGCCCTATCGACACGCACGATAACGTCGGATTCATGGTCATACTTAGAGCCGCTGCCGGAGGAGGGGGACTGCGAACTATGCTATTCTGCCATGCTTCCCCCGATTATCCTCAGATGGGTCCAATTCCGAGCTGAGGTTGAATCTATCCACAGGGAAACAAGGCAAGGCATGTTCGACGAATTGTGTGTGGTCAGGGACTCGGACCCGCTGGTTAAGATACCGCTGGATTGGATGTATCGTCGTACTACCCGCATTCCGTGAACTGCTGGAGTGAGTAGCGAACTGTAATGGATAGATTTTTCGCTAGTAATATTCAAACTTGAGCTCCCGCATTCTTAATGTGGAAGTTGGACCGGACTGTTCCTGGTCTGAAACTCTGCCAGAAGTTGTACCAGGAGAGCAGAAAGAATCAAATGCCCAAATGGAGCCGAATCAGATCCTGATTCAAGACTGGTCGTGCTATCCCTCATTTTTCTACTAGTTGCAAACCAGCAACACATCTGGAAGCAAAATACAGGAATAGAACTCGGGGTCTGGTGTGAGACACATCACTAACAGTGTATGCGAGGGATCAACCAGACAATGAAACTAAAACTGCTGCCCTTGCCTGTTGGATTTCTATGAATTAGACATAGTTTGACGGGGTTCGACTCCCCGCACCCGAATGTGCGGAGCGAAGACAACTTTTTATACTCTGAGTACCCCGCGAGGTAATTTAGTCGCTCATAAATTCCACAAAGTATGTAGAGTAAGATATCGGGTGTGGTACACGGTGCACCGCTGCATTCTGTGCGATGAAGAGCAAGTGAAAGCAGCCAGCCGGGGTTCGACTCCCCGCACCCGAATACTTGGGGTTCTAAGAAACCTTTTATTTACCGCGCCCGTTGATTTCTTCGCTAATCAATCACACCAGACATACAGGGGAAGCGATCGGGTGTGGTGCATGGTGCATAACTGCTGCCCTTGCCTGTTGGATTTATATGGATTAGACGTAGTTTGACGGGGCTCGACTCTCCGCACCCGAATCCCAAAATTGCAAATAGCTTTTTTATACTCAGGCTGACCCGCCCGTCAATTTCGTCGCCAATAAATTCCACAAAGTATGCAGAGCAGTGAATTGGGTGTAGCGCACGGTGCAACTGCTGTCCTTGAATGGTTTTTACACAATTAGAGGCAGTTCAACGGGGTGCGACTCGTCGCACCCGAATGCATCGGATTTAGATTCTAGTAACCTTTTTATCCTCCGGGTATTAATTTAGTCGCTAATAAATTACACCCAGCATATAAAACAAAGTATCGGGTGTAGTGCACGGCACACCGCTGAAATCCGTGGCATGGTTTCGGAATTATAAGCAGCGAGCCGGGGTTCGACTCCCCGCACCCAAATCGCTTGGTTTGGGGAATTTTCTTTTATTGTGAATTCGACCACTCTGAAAACCAGGTCAAAGGGGGTGTAAAAACAAGGCAAAGTATCGGGTGTGCTGTACGGCGCACAACTGCTGTCCTTGGATGGTTTTTCCACAAATAGAGGCAGTCAGACGGGGTTCGACTCCCCGCACCCGAATTCCAAAGAATAGCTTTTTTTATACTCAGGCTGACCCGCCCGTCAATTTCGTCGCTAATATATTACGCCAGCTATATAGAGCAAGTAGTCGGGTGTGGTGTATGGCGCACAACTGCTGTCCTTGGGGAGACTCGAGGGGATTAGAGGCAGTCAGACGGGGTTGGACTCACCGCACCCGAATTCCACAGAATAACTTTTTTGTACTCAGGCTGACCCGCCCGTCAATTTCGTCGCTAATATATTACGCCAGCTATATAGAGCAAGCAGTCGGGTGTGGTGTATGGCGCACAGCTGCTGTCCTTGTGTAGGTTCAAGGGGATAAGAGGCAATTGGACGGGGTTCGACTCCCCGCACCCGAATTTCCAGGCTCAAAATTTTTTTAAAAAGATTTGAATTCAACCCCTCTCAGAACACGGTTAAAGGAAGTGCATAATCTAGGCAAGACATCGAGTGTGGTGCACGGCGCACAACTGCTGTCCTTACGTATCCTCCCATCTACTAGAGGCAGTTCAACGAGGTTCGACTCCCCGCATCCGAAATTCGTCGGCCAGACGGTTTTCTTTTTTGCTTCATTTTTTCTCCCGCTCGACGCTCTCCCTCATACTCGCTCAACGCTCGCTTCTCTCCATCGTCAGCCTGAGTAAAAAGAGGAAGTCCAGATCCATTAAACTGCGTATCGTATCATAAATCATAATCCTCCGCCTATCCGTGCGTGTCTATTTTGCCCTCCTCCCCCCGCTCTTCATCCTGCCTCCTGCCCCTGCCTCCCTCTTCATCCCGCCTCACCCTCCCGCCTCCAACTCAGAACACAAAGGAGCACTCAGATACAAAGTACCCCCGCTCAGAACTTGACTCGATTGACGACCTCATAAAACGCCTCCCCTGTATCCGCGCCACCTCCAGCTCGAGCACCGTCGGCTGGCGCGAGCCGTCCGCGGCGACGCCCCAGGGGGTTAAATAAAAAGGCAGCGCGAACTTACCCCCATGCACCTCCAGCCCCGTGAGCTGCTTGAACGCGTGCGCGTACCCGAGCGGAACGTAGAGGACGCCGTGGTGTGTGAGCGTGCTGTGCGAGTGCGGACTCCGCCCTGAACACGCGAGCGACGACAACGGCCAGATGCTGATATACGAGGGAGAATTCTTGTGGACCAGAGGGAGGAAGTGGAGTCCCTGTCTACGCAACTTATTTCCCACAGTATCATCCTGCGGCGGCAGTGTAGCCACTATTTGTACCTGCTTTACCACGAGAATGGTGCGACTTCTGGTCTTGGAAGCCTGACACTTCAGAACTAGCTACTCTGATCGCTCAAATGGCTAGTCTCTGCCCAGCCTCTCTGATACACCATTCTGTTCATCACATCGGAATCCATCCTGGTGCCGATTGCCCATCTGTCGCCCCTCTGCAGTTCAACTCCCGGAGTAGCGGCGTGCTCCGGGGGCAGTTCGAGCAACGGGTACCCGGAATTCCAACAGTTGCTGTCGTGGCTCTGACACTACGACTGTAATCTCTATTTGCCCGAGATGGATGCCCGATGATGCCGCAAGTAGCACTTCAGATAGCTAAAATTGAATACAATTCGTTTTTTCCTCAGAAGATTACATCTCGAACAGTTCCCCTCATCGCACTGTAGGCCCAATATATCTTGGTGTGACTGCTCTTCAAAAGGCACTGCTTGGCATCCCAACAGTCCCTTTGACGTCAGAGCTTGCCATTCCATTCTCGATGTCTACTGGGAAATTCGGGTTTCCATGGGAGGACTGGAAAGGAATGGTAACCATGACGTGGGTTGTTGCAAACAGTTGTTCCCTGACATGGTCGCGGGAATTGAGTCTGGGGAACAACAACACGCGGTGAGCTTATATATGTGGATAGGGGAGAAATCCTACATGGACATGAAACTCAATGCATAGACTAAAATGGTGTGAACGGTGAAAGAGCAAAGGGAATTTAGGAAGACCTACGTCGAACAAGAACAAGGTAAAATCTGAAACAAAAATTGCAATGATTTATCATTTTGGAGATAGTGAAACTCTACGGTTCATGGATTAAAGTCGAAGGTGAGGCAACGAACTGCAAGTATCATCAGTGACGGCTTAGGTGATGCAGGACGAGCTCACTGTTGCAAGATCGCAAATTGCGAATACCATTACGATTGCGCCACTGTTGAGAGAGTACGCGACAAGGAGGTTTATTGCCTTGCGCGTCCTAGATTGTCCATTATCTGTATGCCAAAAAAGATGACTGAAACTCACTACTGTTTGAATCCTGTTTTGCTGCGCAGCAAGTGGTATGACGTGGCTCCGGCAATGAGGACATCACAGAACGCTTCAATCGACATACTGCTGGTGTAGTATGGCTAGGAGAATCAGCTTGATACGCAGAGTGAGTGCAATGAGTCGCGGACGTACAATAACAGTGCTCGCCTGGCTGAAAACTTTGACCTGGAAACTGATGGTGCCATCGTTAAATCTCCGCTTTTTCAGCATGGGAGACAACTTGCGCTTCCTGTATAGTAGTTATTGCCATTCCTGCAAATCGGTGGTATCTCAGGAGCTTGTTCAAAATTTCAAATAGAGGGTCGGGTCTACACACCCAGGTTAGCAAACGCACAAACTGCCTGAGGTCAAATTAATTTGGGGGACATCTATTATGTGTTGAACACCACGCACGATGATCACAGGAAACACAAGGGATTTGTTTGAGATGGTGTAGATTCGGAACGCATAGAAAAGCTGCACGAAAGTGCTCAAAATGGCTGGTGAGAAATCAGTGACATGCTCAACCGTCTAGGGCGAAACATCGTACCTCCAACGTCCATCTGAATCTTCATATACAGTCCCATAAAATCACGCAGTTCTGGACGGAATTGCCTATGTTGCTTACTAGGAGACTCCTATGCGGGCGTTGGAAGGCAGGGAGAACCTTTGAGTAGAAACTCACCACGGCGGCGTTTGCAACTTGACGTAGTCGCCGAAATTGATGACGGTTGCGGAGTAGAATGAATGAGAAACCAAGGCAAGATGCAAGGTGTCTAATGCGCAGAGAAGAGCCACCTCAAATGCTCCCATGTTAGATAGGTAGACATGAGTGCATTTTGGACACACACAAAGTTTTTCAAGAAGATCGAGTCCCGCGCAGAATGTTTCGTGAAGTAGCGGTACACTTGCAAGCAAGTAAAACCAAAAAGTCTGTAATAACGTTGGGGGGGTGATTCCGATATTTGAAAGACTGGCCTACACTGAAGACAGGATGAGTCCAATGAGCCAGGCTCCGAGGAAATCATGTAGCGGGATGAGACTAGCTCGAGAACGGATAATACCAGACATGGGATCAAGCATCGTTGACGAGGCGACTTACAGCTCGCTTTTATGCGTCCACAAATCGGATGTTGTGTTCTGATGGAAATCAGGATCATGTTTCTACTGTACTATTTCGACCAAGTGATAGCGATAGTGATACAGCGTGGTTCAATCTCTGAACAGTTCCCAAGGTTATCCCAGCGAAGTATTCACGGCTTGTGACCTGTGACCTCAAGTATTCATTTTTGAAGTATTTAAATTGCCTTTGTGGGCGATTTCTCACAATTTTCCCCCGTCAAAGCGATTTCCGCGCTTCTTACTGCTCTCCCGTGAAACTCGCACTGGTTTTGCAGGAATTGCGAATCTGTATCAGTACATGCCTTCTTCTCCCTACGATTGCGGGGTACTCGGCCTTAGCTGGAGCATTAGGTACCTCCAATCTCGAAAAATCGTCGTCGGCCCAATCGACTGTCTATTTGGCCCAGATTTCAAGGATGTGATCCTTGAAATCATAACGTAAAAACTCTGAAACAAATCAGATAGGTGGCAGCGGCGGAGTGATTCGAGATGTCTGTGGAGCGAGGAAGGCTGCCATTTACGTAGTGTTCAGGGTATTTCCCGAGCCCTAATTTTGTCCAGGTGCCAAGCCAGGTGCGACATGCATTGACACACATCAGCAAATCCCGATTTTTGGGGACTATACCATACTACACCATACTATTGAGCCCTATGTAGTGCTATATAGCACTACATAGTGAGGGCTACTATGCAACAAGAGACTTTCACTACACCGCACTATAGACACTATGTAGCACTCTGTAGCACCCTGTAGTTCAGTCAGGATTTGCTGATGCGCCCGCCAAGCAAAACACCTAGGTCCGATGATTATCAGCTGTGCGGACTCTAAGTCCCAACAAAATACCCAGTATAGTGGGTCTTGCCAAGGTCTGCGGCACCCTATCACGACTTGTTCGGCGGCGT